TTTAAAAAAAAAAAAAAAACCCAGTTAGTCCTACTGTGATGGTTATAATGTTTCTGCATATATGTCTCTTGCAGCTCCCATTAATCATGAAGCACCAAGAAACCGAAAAGGAACTGAGAATTGCTCGTCACCACCTGAAAGAACACGTGGAAACCATTGATCAGCTGAAAGTGGCTCTTTGCGAGAGGGAAACTGAACTGTCAAGAGTGCAGAAGGAACTGGAAACAGCCCACCGTGAGTTACAGGAAAAGGTAAATTGGAAAGGAACCGTGGGAGGAGCCTGAGGGGAGCGGCGTGGGGTCTCGGTGTCTTGGGCACAACCTGTGGTTTCCTTGAGCATGTCAGTGCGCACATGTAAACCCACCTGTGTACTTAGGGGTATGGGCTTTTCTTTGGGACTAACTTAGGTTATTATTGTAAGCTCCAGGAGCTTCATGAGAAACAGGGACAACTCACCACCGTCAAAGAAATCAGGGAGCCTCAGGGGGAGAAGAGCGACGTGCAGCACTTACAGGAGCTTCTCAAAGCCAGAGACGCGTCACTACAGCGCGCGGACGGCGAGAGGCTCGAGCTGCTGGAGAGGCTTCACGAGAGTCAGCAAGAAATGAAAACGATAACGAAGGAAAGGGATGAGCTGGAGGGCGTGCAGGAAGCCCTGCAGAGGGAGAGAGACCTGCCCAGGGAAAACGCTGAAGGAATCGAAGCCAGAGTGCGTGTCCCTCCTTTAGTGTGTTTTACTTTTATATTTTTAGAAACAGAAATAGTGACCAGGTGATAATGATCACTGAGTATGACTCATTTTCCTTGAATCCCCAAGGGACAGAAAATCCAAGAGGAGCTAAAAGCTTGTGTTCTCCTGATGGAGTCCCAAGAAACGGTTGGCGCGGGGAACCTGTCAGAGGAGACAGACCTGGTGGCATGGACGCAGGGAGGCCCAGACGCTGGGTCACCGGGCACGGTGAGTCGGCTTTTCACGTGAGACATACCTTTGCCATTGTGTTCGGCCTCCTGACCTGGGTGAGCAGCCCCTGTCAGTCAGACTCCACGCAGGTGCGGCTGCATCTCGAAACAGTCCTGTTCCCCAGTCGCCAGCTTTGCTGGCTCACTGCTATCCAATGTCCTCAGGCCCAGGAGCGTCCGCCTGTCGAGGGGGCAGCGGTCAATGAGGCTCAGGCCACAACATGTGAAGCGGAGCGCAAGGCCCAGATGTCCACTCTGGAGGACCCAGAGACGGAGACACTGCACCAACACCTGGAAGAAATGAGATCTGTTTGCAAAGAAAGAGATGAGCTTCGGTGTGAGCAGGCGACCCTCAGGGCAGAGAGGGAGCAGCTCCAGGAGAGTCTACGGGGAGCCGTGTGCAGGGTGGGTCTCCCCGGCTGGCTAGGACCTCCCAGCAGTGCGCGGACCGGAGCACGCCGCTGCCCTTGTGTCCTGCAGCAAGGCGCAGTGGCTGATAAACCTGGAAGCAGGGTGGGCTCAGTGCCATGGTAGGCACCGGGGCCAGGGCCAGGCCACGGTGACCAGGCCACACCTGAGGGGCTCGGCCACGGGCTGGTCCAGCCGTGTCCCATCAGGGAAGGAAGGGCTGTCCCGACTGTGACCTCTGCAGGTCACTGAGGAAGGCTCGGGAAGGAGGCTCCTGCGTACACAGCTTGAATGTGTTTTTCTTCCCCACTAACGTTCAAGGACCTGGAAATACGAGAGGAGCTAGAAGCTGCTCGCCTGAGTCTGAAGGAGCAGCAGGACACCATCAGTAAGCTCCAAGGGCTGGTGTCACAGAAGACAAGTGAAATATCTAGCATACAAATGGACTTAGAAAACACAAATTCCGTCTTAAAATCACAGGTATTTTCTTCTTTTTAAATTGTTTCCTGAGTAACACAGTTTTAATCGGGTCTTTGTAAGGAGACAGGATGTGAGTTAACTGAAAACTGAAGACAAGTGAAGAGCTCTCTGTTCCTTTGGAAACTGTTATTCAGCTGTTTATCTGTACCTTCCTCTAGCCTGCCTAATTGTGTGATTATCTCAAGGCCCAACAACTCCAGGAGAAAGAACACCAACTTCTTGAGGTAAAACATTGTCTCACCGAAAATGCATACCAAACAGAGCAACTGAGGAAGGAACTGGAGGCCCAGAACACCACCCTGGGAGGCCTGGAAGCAGAGAAGCTACGGTTGACACAGGAACTTCATGAAAACCTTAAAGAAATAGAAGTCATCGCTGCAGAAAGAGACGGCCTGAGGAGAGCCGAGGGGGCGCTCCAAGTGGAGCGGGAGCAGCTCAGGGAGCGCCTCTGGGCGGCGGAGGCCAAGGTGAGTCCTCATCACACCTTCGCGCTGCCGGCAGGCCCCTCTCCGACAGCACCGCAGTGCCAGGGCACCGGCCTCCTGGCAGTACTTGGCGGTCCCATGCACCTCACCGCTGGGCCCACCATGGTCAGTGCACACTGGGGTCTGCGTGTGTTAAGACAAAGGAAAACACGCCCACACACGTGCGCTCACCCACAGCTGAGTAGAACACTAGCAACTGGGACTGAAAAGTGAGAAGGACCTCAGTGCCAGTCAGGGAAACGGGTACATAGGAGCAGCATGATGGGGGGAGGCAGCACTTGAAAGGTGAGGTAGGGTGAATGCTCCACATTTGGGAGTTCCAAGTAACTGAGGGGAGCAAGCAGATAGGGTGTAATGGGTTCGTCTCTGGGGGCGTGAGAGGGCGGGATGCCTGTGCCCTCAAATAGCGGTGGAGCGAGGAGGACACATTTGGGAATTGTACTAAGAAAATACGGCTTTCACTTAGAAATCAGGGAGCGTTAGAGTAATATATCACTGTCTCTCAATTTTTTCTAACAATGAAGGACCTGGAAACACGAGAGGAACTAGAAGGTGTGCACACGCGTCTGAAAGAGCAGCAGGAAACCATTGATGAATTCCGAGGGGCAGTCCTACAGAAGACGGGTGAAATAGCCAGTCTGCAGGTGCAGCTAGAGAACACAAACGCCGAGCTACAAGAAAAGGTGCTGGCGGAGGCTCGTCTGATTAGATTCTGACTTGTGGGTGCCCCGAGCCGGGGGCGGGCAGTGGCAGCTGGCATGGTCTCGCTGCGTCGCCTTCCTGGGCCTGCACCCATCAGCAGGAGGAGGGATAAGAATGTGGCTTATGAGTTAAAAGGCGGATGCGCTGGTCTAGGCCCGAGTGTGTCGGCGGGCAGTGGGAACAGCTAGGGAAAAAGGGAGCCAGTGATTGAGGAGAGCTGGGCGTTGCAGTCTGGGTCGTGGCTGCATAGTTGTGGGGGTGTCAGCAATTACTGAGCTGCACTCTCGGGGTCTCCATCAGGCACAGAAGACAGTAAGTTACACGAGGGAATCACAGAACGGTAATGAGCAGTGTGAGAAGAGTATTAGGCTAATCAGTTTGGAAACGATTCTTTTATCTTCCCCTAAAAAAAGGAACCTATACCCTAACATGTGTTTTGTGTTTGTCTTAAGATCCAAGAACTGAAGGCAAATGAACAGCAGCTTCTAAAGTTAAAAGAAGATGTTGGTGAGACACAGAAAAAAATGCCTGAGGTGGAGCGATTGAAATCACAACTGAAGGCCCAAGGTCTGGCCCTGGGTAAGGTAGAAATGGAGAACTTAACTCTGGCTCAGAAACTGCATGAGAACCTTGAAGAAATGAAATCTGTAACAAGAGAAAGGGATCGTCTCAGAAGAATAGAAGAGACACTCAGTCTGGAGAGAGACCAGCTCCGGGGAGAGCTGCAGGGAGCCCTGGCCAGGGTGAGCACCCCTTGCACTGGCCCACACTTGGTAGCACGGTTCCCCATGCGGGAGGATGTGTGTGCACACCTGGGGTCGCGGCGTGGGGCCACCCAGAAGCAGTGCAGGGGACCAGGCAGGCACCGGCTAAGCAGGGCACTCAGCTTGGGGGACCCAGCCGACGATTGGGCTTCTTCAGGATGCTGGCGTGGGTAGACCACAGGTGTGAGCAGAGAAGCCACGCAGTCAGCGGCCAGGAGCCGTGGGGCAGGGGCCCCATAGATGCGGTCTGACTGGGGCAGCGGCGGGTGTGTTCCACGGTGGGCAGGCGCCTTGGAAGAGATTCTGCTCAACAGGTTCACAAAGGAGAGGCGCTGGGCCTTTTTGTGAGTATATTCTTCAGTCTCTTCTAATGACACAGGATCAGGAAACACGAGGAGAACTGAACACCGCTCGTGTGCATTTGAAGGAGCATCAGGAAACTATCAGTAAACTCAGAGAGAGCCTTTCCGAGAAGGCAGCGCAGATTTCATATATTCAGAAGGATTTAAATAAGGCAAAAGATGGGTCACAGAAGAAGGTATGTGCGTTATCCTTTGGTGTCCGGACTTGGGTACAGAATGAGGGGGGCTGTCTGGAGCTCAGAGGTGCGGGCAGCTGGGTGTCCTTCCTTGAAGGAGTTCTTTCCGCCTTCTAAGTCATTTTGTAACTATCTCAAACTCCAAGAACTTCAGAAAAAAGAGCTTCATCTTAAAAATGGAAGTAGATTTTAGTAAAACGGCTAAGAAATTGGAACAGCTAAAGAAGTGATTTGAGGGAGGCCCAGCCTTTATCCACGCAGTGTGTGGAAACTTACATTTGACTAAGAAGTTTCATGAAAGCCCTGAAGATATAAGAATTGTAGCCAAAGTAGCGATGAGCTGAGGAACATGAACGAGTCTCTCAGAAAGGAAAGACCAAATCAGAGAGGCCCTACACAAAGTGGTAGCCAGAGGAGCGAGGGCCCCGCCACCTACATCAGCATTAGCAGTTAAGGTTCAAGCCTTTTGAGGAGAACAGTGTCTTGATGTCGCATTTTTAGAAACTTCTAACATAAAGATAATAGGAAAATATTTTTTTTTACACCCAAATAGGAAAAATAGTTTAAAAGAAGCTAAAATGTTTTTCTAGAAAATACTTTTTATCTTTAAGAACCAACCTGTTAAACAGAATACTTTTTAATGTAACTTTTAAAAAGGTATTTAAGCCAAGGAAAGACATTCCCAATGGAGAAATATGCAAGGGTTAAAGGCCTAGTTCCCCCTTTGCTGACAGAGGCTTGTGAGTGACACTCAGAGAGAAAGGCCAGGAGAACACACAGGAGAAAGCGGGAGTCTCACTTTCCCAGACGTTTGGAGTCACTTACCTTTGAAAACCTAATTGAATCCTCTGAAAAATAACATTAAAATCGGGCAAATACATAATACATTGTATGAAACCTATAAAAGTCATTCTTTTCTCATAAATCCCCCACAATCTCACAATAGAAGCGTCAGGCTCTGGGGAACCATCTTAATTTGGGCCTAGCTGATTTTATAGAGATTAAATCACACGGTGTTTTGAATGTTAGGCATTCTTCAGGGTGCCGTAGTGTGCATGACAGGAGAGGAGGGAGGCTCCTTCCAGCTGGAGGTGCGATGCTGGGGTGGGCTCTCTGCTCCTGGGTGCCCAGCAGGCTGAGCAGGCCGGGACAGCAGGGAGGTGGGTGTTTGCGGGCCGGCTGGCGGGCGTCATGCAGACCTGGAGGGTAGGAACCAGAGCCAAGCGTGAAATCTGATGGGCACGTGTGGAGTTCCAGGAGTGCATGCTGCCTCCCAAACACCTTCCTGCCCCTTCTCCACAGTGAGTCGGGGCCACCTGTTTGTATTCGGCCTCTAGCCATGTCTACAATCCTCTTAAGCCACAGTGTGTCATGTCATTCCTTCATTGAAACGATGTAGAAACTGTCAAGTAACCACGTGACAAGACATGACGTGTGAACTTAGCTCCAGCTGACACCTTTTATTCCTCTGCATCACAGCAGGACCAGCAGGACCACAGAGCACTAGTAAAATGTGGGAAAACATCAGTATGTGATGGGAAACGCCTGACAGAAAACCTGAGAGAAAAGTGTTCTAGGATAAAAGTAAGTGCACTTACGGAAATTTCAATGCAGAATACGGAAATTTCCTAAAGGCCTAGAATGGAGTCTCAGGGAGTCTTAAGAATGAGTAGATGACGCTGAGTGTTTTCCTCAACTTGATAATCTAGCACAGGTGTGTGCCCATATATACACACACACTCACACATGGGGTTTGTGGCTGCGGGTGTACTGAGAAGTCACACTTGAGCGGATCTCCTGAGAGACAGAGTCCCACTCCCCGGGGCCTGGACATGGCACAGAGGCTGCCTGCTGGCTGTGGGTGTGGCGGGCAGGGTCCTGCTGGCCAGGCCTGAGAGCGTGTGCTTGCAGGGAGCAGGCAGGACCCGGGTTTTCCTCTGGGTGAGCAAGACCCGTGGCAGTCTTGACCATGCAGCATCTGGTCCTCAATGACCATTGCAGGGGGAATGGCCTGCCATTGAGAAAGGCATGTAGAAGCAGGAAGACCAACCCAACGTGGCTTAGCCCAGAGTGGACGTGGTGAGCATTTGAGGGTGAGGCCAGGGGTGCCTGTCTCCTGATCTTAGAGACTTCTTACGTTTACAGCACCACCACAGGTCAGATCCCATGGTGCAGCTGACCCTAAGACCAACCAGGGCCCGGCACCCCAGATGAGGGACCAAGGGAACAGCCAGTTTGGCCTTGTATTGGTGGAGAGAGAACAGCACCTGCACTAGCCATGCGGGTCAGCTCACAGTGCTGCTGGCACCTTCACCAGCCTGACTTCACCTGTGCTCAGGCTGCCACCTGCCCGGCCTTAGGCTTGTGGGCCTCGGCCTGCATGCCGCCACACCCACGCCCCCTGCTTTCCCTCATGAGCCGGCTCTGCTCCTCTGAGGCCGCCACAAGAGAGTCTGAGAGAGCGAGTGCAGGGGGCCCAGTCTGGAAGTGGCAGAGCTAGAACCTGTTCTGATAAAGCTCAGGGAAGCCAGTTCCAGGCAAGCAATGGGGAGATGCCTGGGCAGCTGCCTGACCTGCCGACTCGCTGCCGGCCCCGACGGAAGCCAGCCTTGGGTCTGGAACCTCACAGTAGGTCAAGTTCAGTCCGATTCCACTACAGACGGTAAATGCTTGCTTAGAGCATTGACAGGTCTCAGAAGGCTGAAAGAATGGCCGTCCAAATGTTCACAGTGGTTGTATCTGGTTGGCTTTGTTAGAATTGGGTGAATTTGCATAATAACACACTTCTATAATCTAGAATCAGCAACAATAATTTCTCTTTTTTAACACAAATTATTTTTGTGCAACTGGAAGGGGTAAAGCCTATGTTTTGTTACATTTCAGGGGCTGGGACTAGTCATTGTCAAATGAGGATGAGTTTTTGAATGAATTCTTATTTTCTTCAGGACCTTCTGAAGAAATACGTGGAGCTGGATGATCACTGTGACTGCCTAGGCGCATTGTCTCTTCACCTGGAGAAGGAAATTGAAACCCAGAAAGAGCTTTCGGCTAGAATCAAAGCCACCCTCCCACTTCCATCTCCACAAACCAAGGAAATTCAAAAACTTCTCACTGCAAACCAAAGATGTTCCATGGAATTCCACCGGGTCACAAAGAAACTCAAGGTACCGCCTCCTTCACTGGTGCCCCATAACGTGGTGCTGCGTCTTGCTCGGTCCAGACGTCGGCCGGCTGTGCAGACAGGCGGGGCGCTGTGGCTGCGTCGTGCTTTCACTGACCGGGAGCTCACGGGGGTGGGGGCAGATGTCAGCCTGGCCCGTGCTGGAGGGGCCTGGTGACTCCTCAAGCCACCGCTGGGTGCTCAGGGGACAGCACCATGGCATCTCCATGCCTCCTGTCAAGCGTGAGGCAGGCCTAGTGTGGAGACGAGGCAGGGACAGATGGCAGCAAGACTGCCAGGTTAGGACCTTGCTTCACAGTAGACGCAGCGGTGGCAGTGAGCTGACCAGAGTGGCATCTCCAATGAGTCTCCACAAAGAACTGAGTTAGGTGGGCAGTGTAGTGGCAGCAGCACAGACCAGGTGCCGCCCCAGAGGGCACTCGTAGAAGGGTATGTGGAAGCGATTCGGGAAACACCTCGCAGCTTACAATAGTGGGTCGGGGAGGTGACAGTGGCAGTGAGGGAGAGGAGAGGGCACTGCAGGGCCATTCAGGGGCTCAAGGTCAGAAAACCAGGAGGGGCAGGAGAGAGCTAAGCACAGCTGCCCCCTGCCGTCAGGAGGCTGAATGGACTGGGTGCCCTGCCCACGTTAGCCAGCTCTCGGTGACCTGTCGGGTTTGGGGCAGTGGTTGTGGAGGAGGCGAGCCGAGGTATAAGTGGAAGCTGCAGGAGCTGGATGTGGCCCCAGACCCCACACCCATCTGGCGGTTGGGTGTCCGTAGCTCATTCTCAAGTTCCACGGCGCAGATGGTGGTCACCATTGTTGCCTTGAAGCTGAGCGTCTGAGGACCGGTGCTGCCTGTGGTCTGAATTGGGGGGTTACCCAGTCCTGGTGGCAGGAGGGGCCGCTAAAAGGGAACCTCAGATGCCCAGCTGGGAAGAGGGGGCCACTGGTGATGTAATTTCCCAGAAAGAGAAACCAGAATAGTGGGTGTCTGGAGAAAGGGGTGTGGTGACATCTTAGACAAACTGAGTCCTGGAGGCAGGTCCAGTAGGAAGGCAGGAGCGTGGAGCCTGCAGACCCAGAAGGTCTTCCCCTGAGAAGCTGAGAAGAGGGGCTGGGGAGGAGCTCCAGACTCTCGCCAGGGGATACGGACCAACAGGAGACATGGTCCCACCTCACAGCCCCCAGAATTTAACATTACTTCACCTCTGAAAGGGGAGCAAAGAAAAATAAGAGAATGGCATCATTTAAGTGTGGTGAACGCGTCAATCCCAATTTGTGTGATGTTTTCTCCCAAGTATGTGTTAAGTCACATTACAAAGATCAAGGAAGAAAGTCATGAATCCATCAATAAATTTGAAACGGCTGTTGTGGACGAAGTGGAAAGGCAGAATGAGCTGCTGGCCGAGACACAGCTCCTGCAGCCGCATGGTGACGGACTGTCCGGAGGAGCTGGAGACCTTGAAGAGAACTTGGATCTGCACGCTGAGGTAGCGTCGTTGACCGTGGGCTCAGACCTCACGCCTTTCAGTCAGGGCCATTTAGAGCAGGTCGCCAGTGGCAGCTGGCCAGCTGCAGTGAGGAGGCAGCAAGTCGCCTCCAGAACCCCGCAGCCTAGGTCGGCGCACAGGTCCCTGGAACCCCGAAGTGTCTCCTCTGTGCCCAGCGTGGGTGTTTCCCAGGCAGTGACCACACGTGGGGTGGCCTGTGGCCCTGTGGCGCGAGGCCCATGTGTGCAGGGCAGCTGCCCGGCCCGTGGCCCTGAGGCCCACGCACACGTCCCAGGCTTCAGCTGGGGGTTGTAGGCGCAGCACAGACCCGGCCGTAGCCTGTAGCTGACGTTTTGTGCTCCAAGAAACAGAATTTTAAGTTAGAACTGTGGTTACTTCAAGCTAGTAAGAATGAGAGTTCCGCGTGGCAGTCTCCCCCCCTCTGTGGTATTAGCTTATAATTGACTAGAGTGTTTGGTTTAAAACTTTACTGATGTTGGCCCTCCCTGGTGGCGCAGCAGGTTAAAGCACAGCACTGAGAATTTAAAGCCGCTGCCGCATGAGTTCGATTCCTGCCTACCCCGGAGGTGACCACATGGTGTGGCAGACCTCTCCT